TCTTTCCTCATCTGAGCCCTGACCCCCCTGCCCTGTGCTTTCTCCATGAGAGTCTTAACCATTCTTCATATACAAAAGTCCTGGAGCAGCAGAAGCTTAGGTCCCCTGATGATGGCACGTCAGCCTGCAAGGGGTGGGACCCAAGGCCTCAGGGTTTGGTGGGATCTCTATGAGCTCAATCACAGTACCCCCAGGGTGCTCTTTGAGGGGTTGTGAGCAGGCATTCGTTCAAGGGCAAGCCTGCTGACACCCTGTCTCTCCCTACAGGGATTGCTCCATCACGGCCACTGGCAAACGGTAAGGTGGCAGGGGCCCCACCAGCGGATGAGAGGTCCCTAGTCCCCACCCCAGTCCTGACGTACTCCCTCCCCACACAGGCCATCTGCCCGATTCCCGCACCAGCGGCGGAAAAAGAGGAGGGAGATGGATGAGGGGCTGGCCGAGGGAGGGCCACAGCGATCCAGTGAGTAGGCGGTGGCCCTCGAGGGAGGGCAGTGATTGGGGGGGCTAGGCAAGGATGTTCATACCCTTCCCACTTGCCCCATCCTAGACACCTATGTGATCAAGCTGTTTGACCGGAGTGTGGACTTGGCTCAGTTCAGTGAGAACACACCACTGTACCCCATCTGCCGAGCCTGGATGCGCAACAGCCCCACAGTGCGCGAGCGTGAACGCTCACCCAGCTCGCCACTGCCCCCCCTGCCTGAGGATGAGGAGGTGAGATGGGTGGGGGGTTCCCGCCCAGCAGCCAGGGAGTACAGTGGGTAGGCAGTCACAAGGTACCCTTCCCGGCAGACAAGCACACCAGTGATTCCTGAATCTGGTGAGGCACACAGATAGGAACCCTTAGGCCAGGGCAAAGGTTGGAGTGTCCTAGAGCAGACAGACATGGCTTTCTGGTATGAGAGGCAGAGAAGACAGGGTCCCCGGGTAAATAGATGTGCCCTCCAAGGTCAGAAGTCACCAAGAGCTGAGGGACTGGGCAGGGGTCCTTAGGGCAACCAGGTACAGCCACCTGGTCTAGGGGAGCAGATGGCAACCCCTTGGGCTAGGAATGGAGGTCTCCATAGATGGAGGTCTCTATGCTGGGCAGGAGTGACCAGGGTTCCCTGGGTTGGACAGGGGTCCTTGAAGCAGACAAATGACTCCTAAGTACAAGTCCCTGGAGAAACCTTCATGTCTTTTGTTGCTGGGGAAGGTGTGAAATGTGTGCCCCTGACTGTCCTGGGCCTGGTGTGGCGTCCTTGTATCCCCAGGGTTCCGAGGTCACCAACAGCAAGAGTCGTGACGTGTATAAGCTGCCTCCACCCACAGCTTCCGGGCCACCTGGAGATGCCTGCAGATCCCGAATTCCATCCCCACTGCAGCCTGAGACCCAGGGTACCCCTGATGATGAGGTGAGTATGCTGGGCTGGCTGAGGGCCATGGGGCAGGTGTTGTTGGTTGTGAGCGTGGTCACCCAGCCTGGCCTCTCTGTCATACAGCCCTCCGAGCCTGAGCCCTCACCCTCCACCCTCATCTACCGTAACATGCAGCGCTGGAAACGTATCCGCCAGAGGTGAGCATCCCCCTACCAGCTTGTTCTCCACGGCCTCTGCTCCAACTGCTGAGTCCTCCCTCCGCCTTCCCCCCACCCCCACTGCAGGTGGAAGGAGGCATCTCATCGGAACCAGCTTCGTTACTCAGAAAGCATGAAGATCCTACGGGAGATGTACGAGCGACAGTGATGTTCCCCTGTCCCCACCCCCATCCCAATAAACATTCCCCTCCTCCACAATGGTCTCCATTTGCTACAGCCTATCCTTCCTGGATCAGACATAAAGCAGTTGGCATAGCTCTAGCACATTTATTGGGGGAGTGGGCCTAGGTGGGGGGATGGGGCATCAGGGAATTTGAGGAGGGAGAAAGATTATAGGGAGTTAAAGAAAGTGGCTGCTTGGTTGGGTCTTGGAGAATAAGGGGAGGGGTGGTGTGGTTGGAGATTTGGGGGGTCAAGACAGAGTGACTGAGGAGTTCTGGATAGTGTGGGATATCTGTGCAGACTCTGGGGAGGAGGGATGGGTATCTATACAATTTGAGGTTGAGGGTTCTGGTTGGCTTAGAATAGGGGTACACGGGTAGGATCAGAAAAGGGGTTCAAGGATCTGGGAGTGGCTGGCTGAGGTTTCAGGTTAGAAAATGGGTTGGAGGGAGAGGGTGAGGAGAAGTGGTGTATCTGGTTGGAATGAGGGGAAGGATCCAGTCTTGGGGACCAGGCCAGGATGGTCCAGGGTAGGAGGTCTGTGCAGGGTCTTGGACATCTGAGAAGAGGGGATTATACTTGACTGGCCTAGGGTGGGGGCAAGGCTGTCTACACCATAATCTTTGGTGGTGTGTGGGATTGAAATGGGGTGAGGGGATGTTTTCCTAGAAAAGTCAAACCGAAATAGGGAGTTTGAAGTGGGGTTATATGCCAAGTGGTGTTGGTGGGGATGAGAGACTAGCTGAGGGATTGTGCTTGTAGGGTCTGGAAGTTAAGAGAGGTGTCTGGAGATTTGAAAGTACGAGAGGGTGTGAGAACCGGAGTGTCAGTGGAAAGTAAGTTATCAGGGATGAGTAGGTTGGAAGGTTCAAGGCAGATCCCAGACTGGGTGAGCGGATAGTCTTGGCGCGCGCTGGGGACATCTGGTTGGGCGGAGTCAGGTCGGCTTTAAAAGGGCGGGGGCGCTGAGGCGGCTCCCAGGGTTCACGTGTCCCCTGACCCCTACTTGGCAGCCGCCCCGGGCGGCGACTGCAGTGGGGCCTGGGCCGGCGCAGGTGCGGCCTGGATGGAAAGGACGCCCTCGGGGGACAGCGCGGACGTCACGGCCGCAGGGTCCACGCCAGGCGGCAAGCGGTAGCGGCGGTGGAACTCTCGCGCAATGTATCCGTGCTCATCCTGGAGGGAGAGAGGCTTGAGAGTCTCCGCCAGGTTCCCGTAGGTGCCCCGCCCCTCCCGCCTGCGGATCCCGCCTACTCGTTCTGGCCCCGCCCCCGCCAGCGGGCTCACCGGGCGCTCCTCGTGGCGCGCATGAACCTCCACGTGGTCACCAACCACCTTGACGGCAATTTCCTCGGGTGAGAAGTGTTTCACATCCAGCAGCACCGAGAAATGCCCGGGGTCGGTCGATACCTGCGCACAACCTGATGGTCATCGGGCGGGGCGCGGCTCCCGGGGCCCATCAAGGCCCCTCCCCTCGGCTCCCCTTCAGCCTATCCTGGCCTCCGGAACTGGGGCGTCCTCTTTCCCACTCTTAGCCCCCGAGGACCTCTTTACCCAGAATAACTAGCATCATCCCTCCCCCTGTAGCCACTGGGGTTCCCCCCTCATCCAGGGTGATGAGGGCCCATCCCTTGCCCTCCAAGGCCAGGGACAGCTGCCCTCACAGGGGAGGCCTGCCGGCTCCCCCAGAGTCAACAGCCTCGTAGTCCGTGTATCCTTCTGGGCACTGACTCCTCAGCCCCCTTCCCCTCAGAGCCCCTGGGGCCCTTACTGCTCCACCTCCGCCAGAAATCGCCAAGAAGCCTCCTCCCCGAGTCTCCAGAGTCCTCTTTCTACCCTCCCGCTCGAGTTATGAGATTGCTTGAGCCCTCAGCAGTTATTAGTACTCCTCCCCCTCTTCTGAGTGTCCAGACCCCCCTTTCTCAAGTTACAGGACCCTCCTTCCCCTCTGCCTCTCCATGAGACACACACAGTCACCACCCACAGCCCCCAAACTCTCTTCATCAAGAATAACAAAAAAATTCCCTCCCCCCCGCCCCCGGAATCACTGGGAGCCCCACGCCTTTCAGAATGACTGGGCTCCCCCTTTCCCCCAGATTCCGTGGGCCCCCAACCTCCTTCAGAATCACCAAGACACCCCTTCAGAGTGAGCGTCCCCACCCGATTAGGGACCCAGCCCTTACACTCCTCTGGGACTTGAGACCCTCCTCACACCGACTGGGCCCTCCCACCCGATTCAGGAAAACGACCTCTGAGAATCCATACTCAGGGAATTCCGGAAGCCCCTCTGAGTGGCCGGCCGGACTCTCCACCCCGCTCAAAGTCAAGGGACTTTCCTTTACCCCGCTCAGGGTGACCGAGTACCCCAGCCTCGGAAGCAGTTGGGTTACCGCCCCTCCCCCAGGTCTGGCACCTGGGCGGTAGGCAGCGCCACGCTGGGTGCGCGCAGGTAGTAGGGGGCCAGCGCGGCAGGGCAGAGCGCAGCCAGCTCGGCCTCCAGCAGCCCCTCGCCGAAGCGCTGGTCGAAGAGGCGCCCGGGAGCCGACAGCCCAGGCAAAGGGGCCGAGGCGCGGCGCAGCCAAGACGGCTGAACAGGCACCGGGATCTCCATTCTGCTCCGCCGTTGCCCTAGGCTCCGCAGTGCTCCAGCGAGGGCTGCCGCTGCTTTATAATACGCCCTGTGTCCGCCCCTCGGCGGGCCGCCCGGGGACATTGGGACCGCGGCCAGAGCCGGCCATTAATAGAGCCTTATTTAGACAGCCCAACAATGACTTGGCCATTTATTAAGCGCCTGCTGGATGCCAGCGAGGTATCATTCCCTAATTTCCCGAAAGAAAAACTAAGGTTGAGGAGGCGGAGCCTTGCCAAAGTGGGGTGCAAGCGTGGCGTTTGGGACCTACAGCCTGAAAAACCCACCAAAGAATTCCCAGTCCCTTTAATCCACCCCCGCCCCGAAGGTGCTCTGAGGATGACGCAGATGCCGGTCTTGGAAGAAGATTTCTGGGTAGAGGGAATGCTGTAGCTGGGCCAGGCTGTCAGGAGGACACAGAACAGACCCTATTCCCATTTGAGCAGGGCCCTGGACCCAACCCCTGTCAAGCCGGGCCTAATTCTGTGCGTCTGACTCAGCCTCGGGTGCGCAGGACAGCGGGGTCTGCCAGGTGAGCAGCAGCCAGGGGGCGCGGGCAAGAACAGTCCAGGCTGGCCCCCCGGGGGCCGCACGCTGGGGCCCGAAATAGCTCGTTATGATCCAGCCACCTCGGCCGGGAGCCCAGGCTTGGCACTTGGAGCAACCAGCTGCTCCTGGAGCAAGACGGAAGTGGTTAGAAGATCGGGGAGGGGGACTGGTAGACTTCTGGACTGATGAAGGGACGGCGGTTAGAGAGGGGGTAGGCTCCCTGATGGCGCCTGCAACGGGAAAATCCGTAGTTAGATTGGAATCTGGATGAGATTTAGACAGCAAGAGGGGGAGTGGTTAGAATACACATCTACAGCAAAGAGAGTGCATTGGAACCTCCTCCTAACTGCGGGCCCAGCCTCGGATCCTTTCCATTGGTCCATGGGCTTGCCAATTACTGCAGCTCGCTACCGTTCCCCAATCAAACATGCCCTCTCATTCCCGTTACAGCCAATTGTGAGACACCTCCCTTTGGCCATTGTCCAATTACTTTTATTTTCCTCTCTATCATTGGTCGCCTTAGCGACCGCTCTCTTCCCGCGCCGGCAGTCCCAAAGAGGGGCGGGGTTATAGGGTATTGCTAAGCGACAAAGATGCGCTCCGGGTGAGTCCCGTGACCGAGCAGAGCAGGCGGAATCGGCGAGGTAGCTGCAGGATGGACCGAAGGTGATGGATTACAGGAGGCCTGGGGAGGATCAAGGGTGAGAGTCACACAGCCTAAGATCAGGTTTGCTACGGGCCGGAGTCAAGTGTGCTCAACGGTACTGGAACTACAACTCCCAAGATGCTCCCCAGCCTTAAGCGGCTCCGACCTTAGACTTTACCACTCCGGGGGTTCCATAACGTTTTACGTTCCGCTAAGTGGCCCTAAGAGCTTTTTTTTTTTCCTCTAAAAGTGTCCGGCGGCACCTTGGGAATTAAGATTCGTAATTTTGAATTTGCTCCCAGACTGTCACGGGTGTCTTGCTTAGGCGGAGCCCAGTGACTATAGGAATTGTTATCCATCTACCCCTCTCCTTAGTGTCCCAAGGACTTATGGGAAATATACTGTGATAGGATTTAGCCTTGGCTCTTCTCCTGACCTCCACTTCAGGATCACCTGGAGCTCTGCGAAACAGATGTATGTAGATGCCCAGCTCCCCTTCCAGACATTCTGATTCTTTTGATCTTGGGTGAGGATCACGCCTCTGTATTTTTAAAAGACTCTTCTTAGACTGGATCCAGGGTTACGAATCACCAACCAACAGTTCCCGGGTTCTCTTTTGAGATTGCTCCAAGGATTGGTGGGAATCGCGCCTCCAGTGTTATTATCTTAAATGTACGGTGGTGCTTCATGGAAATTATAGTTCGTCTCTTCCAGGATTCCGTGGGAACCGTAGTGTGGTTTGAAGCCACTACTGGCCAGCCTGAAGCCAGACCTGGCACCCCCAGGTGAGGACACCCCACAGAGAGTGCTGTGTGCCAGCCAGTAACAAGGGAGTGGCGACTAGAGGGAAGGAAGACGTGATGAGAGATGGGGGTGAGAGATTAAAAGACGGCCTCTCCTCTCTTCCCCATGGCCTTGCCCTTGTCCTCCACCACCTAAATCCCTTGTCACCTCCCCAGTCACTCTGAGTTGTTGCCATTGTGGGATGTGTTTCCTCCCCTCTGGACTGAGACTTCGTATGTGTCTTCGTTTCCCTACAGGAATGACTCCTCAGCCCCACTTTTTCTTCTCTTCACCTCCTGTATCTTAGACCCTGAGCCCATCCAGATCCCAGAGATCCAAACTTCCAGAAGCTTCCAAGGCTCTGGCCACAGGCCCCAGCTCCCCTGAGCTGTTTGAGGAATCCTGGCCATCCAGCTCAGGGACCCCTTCCCCACCCAGCAGCACTGAGGGCCAGATGAGAGCCTCTCCACCACCCACCGTGACTGACAGTGGGGACTCCGTGGTGGCCAAGTAAGTTCCAGTAGCTCTCAGGGAAAAGAAGTGTTTGGATCAGTGTGAGGGGGCAGACATAATAATCATCCTAGCCAGAGCTGCACTTTTAGGACCATGCTTCATTCATGTTACCAAGCACTCTGAAGCTAGGTTCAAATCCAGGCTTTATCACTGTACAATCCCGGCCTCAGTTTCTTCAGCTATAAATTGAGGATATTAATAACACACATGTTCTGGGTCTGTTTCAAGTTTTCAATGAATTACTATCAGGACTGCATCTGTAACAAACAATAGTGAGCCACATAGTGAGTACTTGGATTTGTAGGATGCAAGTTCGGCTGCTATAACAAGGAGTCCCAAATGAATCGTGCCTTAAACAAGAGTGTTTATCAATATGTCTCCCTCACCTAACAGTCCAGGCAGAAGCAACCAGGGCTGCTATGGCAGCCCCTAACTGAGGTGTCAGAGACACAATTTCCTTCTCTCTTGTTGCTCTCCCTTCCCTAGGCTGTTAGCCTTTCCTTCATGGCCCATAATGGCTCCCAGCCACATCCACTTTCCAGAATTGCATCTTGTGGTCAGGAATATACATGGCCATAAAGCGGCAAGGGCATCTGGCAAATGTATTTATAGAAGAGTGGCTATGTGCCCAGGGTTATATCATCTTACATAATATTGCATTACTGTATAAGAAAGGAGAACAGATGCTGAGGATCAACTACCAAGTGTTGCTATGGTGCTACATATACATTGACTATTGTGATTATTATTGTTATTATTATTGGGTGCTCCTCATCCCACCCACCTTGCAATTCTCTGATGCTCACAGGTACATAAACCGGTTCCGACAGGCTCGGCCCACAAGCCGAGAAGAACGCCAGTCTGCAGGCCCAACTCCAGCTGACTTTTGGTGGCTGCAGCCTGAATCTTCAGACCCTGGCAGTCAACTTGCAGCAGGTACCTGCTTCAGTCTCATCTCCTCCTGAGCAATACCCCCAGCAGCTCCTCTGCCTGCCCCTCACTAAATCAACTGGGGCATCTCAGCAGGAGCCCGTGAACCAGGAGGAAGACCCAACACAGCAGTCCTGACTCATGCTAAGATGGCCAGTGCATCGAAGGCTAAGGCTATGGCACCCCTTCAGGAAATAAAGCAGGTGACGCTGCCACCCACTTTTTTCCCTCCATGCCTGGACTGATAGCACCAGCCCTGAGGTAGAACTAGAGTCAAAAATTCTCTGGTGATCTAGTGGTTAAGACTCTCCACTTCCAATGCAGGGTGCGCAGGTTCAACCCTTGGTCAGGAAATTAGATCCTATATGCCACTGCATGGCTTAGCCAAAAAAGAAGAAGGAAAAAAACCAAACAAACATGTAGTTAGCATTAGAGTCAACCCCCAATTCAAGGAAGCCTAAACAAAAAAGGGAGGCTTTGTTAGTGCAATCAAGAAATCCAAAACTAGATGCTTTTGGGCATAGCTGAATCCAGGTGATTGAACAATATTGGGAGGAACTCAACTCGAATGGCTTTCAGTTCCTCCTTGTTTGGCTCAATCTCAGGTAGGATTTCCCCTCAAAATAGCTAAGATGTCTCCAGTAGCTGTAGGCGTCTGATATACTTGATTACTGCAGTGAAAAGAAAAAGCTTTTCCAATAGCCCCATCCAAAGCCCCAGGACTTACTCTCATTCGCTCATCTCTGGCCAGGCACCGTGAACTGGCAGACAGAACACTGTGACTAGCCAGGCCTGATCAGGAAGGTAGGGTCAACCCTTCTGCTATAGCAATGACTGCACTGAGGGTTATGGATCCACAGAGGGATCTGTCTGTCTTCCCTAAAGAGAAGGAGCAGATTGTCAGCCAGCATGTGAGGGTGCCAGGTGGAAGGTAGACCTGCATTCAGGCCCTCTGTCCAGAGCCCCTCTCCCAGAAGCCTTTGTGATGGGGGCTGGCCTCTGACCCCTCTCACCTCACAGAGTCTCAACACATGGAACTCATCCCTGCTGGACTTGGAGACACTGAGCTTGCAAAGCAGAGCTGCCAGGCTGCTCAAACGCAGGTGCCTCTCCCGCCCGCATCATCCTCTCCAGTCCTCCCTCTCTGGGCCCAGGCCGCTGCCTCTGAGATCCCTGTGGCCTCACTTCTGCCTTCTCCCTCCAGCACGACCTCCGTCTCCTCCACCTCCTCGCTCAGCCCCAGCGATGGCGGCAGCTCCTCATTCCCCGTCAGCTCTGATGGCCTCTCTCCCTTCTCCATGACCTTCACTCCTGACTCCATCAAGGACCCTGACCTCAAGGCACACGGTAAGTTCTGGGAGGCGAGGATGAGGGCAGTCTGGGTGCAAATTCCAACGTTTCAACTTACCGCGCTGTGACTTTGGGCTTCTCTGCGCCTTGTTGACCCAACTGCAAGACAGGGATAATAACTGTATTCCCCTGCTGTAGGTGTCATGAGGATTAAAAAGAGTTGGTGAATACATGGAGCACGTAGCATGGCTCCGTTAACAGTACCTATCATGGGAGGACCTTCCTGGTGGTCCAGTGGTTAAGACTCCACACTGCCAATGCAGGGGGTGCGGTTTCAATCCCTGATCAGGGAACTGAGATCCCGCATGCTATGAGCCGTGGCCAAAAAATTAAGAAAGCATACACAGTAGCTCCCATGAGTGTGCAATTTCTCTCTGCATCCTGTCTGCAGTTATGAACACGAAGCTCCAAAATCAGAAGGCTTGTTGCAAATTTGGCACCACAGCTGATTTGGCAGCAAAATTTGACCTAAACAATATGAAGAGTATTTATATATCTATCTCATTTAGGGTGAAGTCATCCTTTTTTATTGAGGCATAGTTGATTGACAATATTCTATTAGTTTAAGGTGGACGACATAGTAATTCAAATGTTTAGAGATTATACTCCATTTGAAGTTATTTGTGGAGATGGTGATTTAGTAACCAACTGTNAGAACTGACTCAAAGGTGTTCCTTTTAATGGCTGAATAATCCATTGTGTATATATACCACAGCTTCTTTATCCATTCATCTGTTGATGAACACCAAAGTTGCTTCTGTATTATAGCTATTGTAAATAATGCTGCTGTTGGGGTGCATGTATCTTTCCAAATTACTGTTTTAATTTTCTTCAGATATATACCCAGGAGTGGAATTGCTGGATTGTATGATAGTTCTATTTTTAGTTTTTTGAGGAATCTCCATGCTGTTTTCCATAGGAGCTGTACCAATTTAAACACATTCCCATAAACACTGTACAAGTGTTCCCTTTTCTCCACATCTTTGCCAGCATTTGTTATTTGTGGTCTTTTTGATGATAGCTATTTTGACAGATGTGAGGTGATTATCTCATTGTGGTTTTGATTTGCATTTCTCTGATGAGTAGTAATGTTGAGCATCTTTTAATGTGCCTGTTGGCCATCTGTCTTATTTGGAAAAGTGTCTGTTCAGGTCTTCTGCCCATCTTTTTTTTTTTAAAAAAAAACAAAACATTTTTATTTCGTCCATCAGAGCCTGAGTCTGGAAACACCCGTGGAGTCATCCTATGGGGATGGCGCTGACGTTGATAAAATAGTCTCTGCATCAGAAGAGCTGCCATATGTACAGGGCTAAAGTTAGTCATAGCTCAGAGTAAGAGGAGGAATACAAAGTGAGGTGGGGGTTGTTGTCTAGTGCTTCTCCACATGTGAGCCTGCTTCCACCTGCACCAACGCCCCCTCCCCCCCACCACAGCCACAAACCCCGTGGAAAGCCAGGGACCATGGGCAGGGCCGCTTGCCATTGGGGGCTGCTGGGCAGCGAGCCCAGGCACCCAGGAAGTGGCCTCAGTTGTCCTCAGGCAGATTCTACCCATCTTTTAATTAAGTTTTTTTTTTAATAATGTTAACTTGTATGAGCTATTAATTCCTTGTCAGTCATATCACTTGCGAATGTTTTCTCCCATTCAATAGGTTGTCTTTTTGTTTTGTTGATTGTTTCCTTTGCTGTACAAAAGCTTTTAAGTTTAACTGGGTCCCATTCATTTATTTTTGTTTTTGTTTCCTTTGCCTTAGAAGATAGATCTACAAAAATATTGCTATGCCATGCCTATGTTTTCTTCTAGGAGTTTTATGGCTCAGATCTTACATTTAGGTCTTTAATCCATCTTGAGTTTATTTTTGTATGTGGTGGGAGAAAGTGTTCTAATATTCTTACATGTAGCTGTCCACTTTTCCTAGCAGAACTTATTGAAGAAACTGTCTTTTCTGCATTGTATATTTTTGCCTCCTTTGTTGTAGATTAACTGACCATAAGTATGTGGGTTCATTTCTGGGTGCTTTGATCTATTCTATTCATCTGTGCCTGTTTTTGTGTCAGTACCATACTGTTTTGATTACTGTGGCTTTGTAGTATAGTCTGAAGTCAGGGAGTAAATATTCATACTACCATGCATCTTATGAAATTTTTGTCTTTGTAAGTAAAAAATGGTTGAATAATGGCAATTTCACACTGTTCAACTATATACCAGTGTGTTTGAGTCTGATGTTCTGGCCCAGACCCCTGTCAACCCTGTACATACCTAGCAACTTTACTAAAACATGCAAAGTGTTGAACTCTCAAATTTCTACCCCCAAGATTTCAGAGGTTGGGTTAAAGACGTGGGTTACTATTTCTGTCATCACTGTTGTTACTATTACTCTGTGCCCCAGTTCCTGGGATGCAGTGGTAGCCAGGAAAGATTCTCTCCATATCTCATGGGACTCCAATGAGTGGGGACAGGCAAGCAGAGAGAACAGAGTGCTATTTGTGCATGTTGAATGATCTTGCCCAAGCCCTCCCCTGATTCTTTGATCCTTCCAAGCTTCTCTTTTTATTCACTTCTTCCTGATCCTCAGTTTCCTCATCTGTAAAATAAGGATAAACCTACTACATACTTCATAAGTTTTTTGCAGAGTAAATGTATATATTCTTTTATGTAACACACATTGAATACATGTTGTGTGTGAAGCCTGTGCTCGAGATTGGGGATTCCTTAGTGAACCAACCATACATGGTCTCACCTTCATGGTCCTTACAGAATAGTGAGTGTGGGCACAGAATACCTGCATAACTCCACAAACAAATATAAGTAGAAATGAAGGTCATGCAGGAGAGACTTGTGATACTGGGACATCAGAGAAGGCCTTCCTGGAAGAGGTGGTATCTAAGTGGAGACCTGAATGATGAAAATGAGGACTATAGCCCTGTAGCCTATACAAAGGACCTGAGATGGGAGGGAGCACAATGCAGATAATGAATTAAAAAAGGCAAGAACCAGGGCTAAGGGTAGTGTGAGATAAGGTGGAAGATATTGGCAGGGGTCAGATTACATGGGGCTGCATAGCCATGTGAGGCATTTGGTCATGATCTACTGGGGAGCCACAGGAGGGTTGTGAGCAAGGCAGGGACAAGATCTTTACCAGGTATTAGCAAACTCCCTATGGCTGCTATGGATACCTGGTGAGAGACAGACTCTGGTAGTTTGGGTTGGGCCAGAGCCTGAGGAGCAGAGTAGAGGGAAGTGGCCAGGTCTGGAAGTAGAATCACAGGATATAGAGGGGAGGGGAGGAGAGGTCCTAGATGCTGTCCCCTACCCTGCTTCCCCTTCTCTGTGCAGCATTAGTAGGTAGGGCTTCTGAGACAGAATGATTGCCATACTGATCATGACTCATGCAGTGATGCCCTGGATGATGGGAAATGATGTCCCTTTGTCCCACAGGCCTGAGGATAGGTGTGATCCTGCCCTTAGTCCCTGCTGCATCCCCAGGACAGTGCTGGGCACTGGGATGGAGCACAATTTTGCATATATTTATTTTCCATTTTGCCTTTATGCCACATATGCTGACACCAGGCCCTATTCTTGACACTGGGGATATGGTAACAGCCTGGCAGATAAAAACTGCTGTCCTTGTGTAGCCGGCATTGTGGAGGGAGAGATGAACAATAAATAAGCAAAGACGTGTGATCTTTAGTAGTTAGAAGGTGATAGGTGCTAAGGAGGAAAATGGAACAGGAAAGAGGATGGAGGGTGGTAGGGCTGGGCTATTGCAATTTTGAATAGGGCAGCCAGGGATGGCCTCATGAAGAAGGTGGTACTTGGGCAAATACCTGAAGGACTTGGAGTTAACCCTGTGGACGCATAAGTGAAGAGCCTTCCAGGCAAAGGGAACCACAAGTACAAAGACATGCTTTTTACCAGGAGAGAGGTGCAGCCCAGGGAAGATTCTAAATCAGGAGGGCCCTGACCTGACTCAGGTGTTTAGGCTCCCTGGACTGTGGATGGAGGCAGTTTGGGAGGATGGAAGAGAAGGGAAGCCAAGTAGTGCCGGGGTCCAGCCTCGGCAGGATCCAGGGGATACCCTCAGGATGAATGGCGTTGGCGAGAGAGAGAGAGAAGACACGTGAGACCAGCCTTGATAGGGCCAAGTCTGCGAGGGCGAGGGTGAGGGCGAGGGCAAGAATGACCAGACGGGTGTGTTTGCAGGGTCTGGCAGAGTCTGGCAATGCTTTATTTTTTACCGTGGCTTTTATACCCTAAATTAGTACATTTCTAAGGGGAAGATAGTTTAACATTACATCAGCTTGTTCTTCATGAAACCAGGGTNATTTTATGATTAGGGTATTAAGAGCAGTCATGCATATTAGTACCAAGGGCATAAATGTATTTGCCAAACAAACTAAAATACCAGCAAAGGAGTTTAAATTAAAACACTCCTTTCACCCTGGATAATCTCTTAAAATACCACCACACCTGGGAAACTTATTGATTAAAGTTCTAAGTTGATTCTTATTTGGAAAGAGATCGGGGAAGGCCTTCTGCCTGTGTCACAGAAATTAGAGAGTAGTCTATTGAGGCAGGCGTCAGAAAGACAGATATCATCTTTAAGGTGAGCGCCGGGGGCAGCTTTTCGAAATCCCTGAAAACCTGATCTGCCTTGCTTGTCAGGCTTTCTCCTCTTGACCTTGTCATGGGTGGGATCTCATGAGCTGGCCTTTTCGAAACCCCTGAAAACCTGATCTGCCTTGCCTGTCAGATTTTCTCCCTCATGACCTTGTCATGGGTGGGATCTCGTGTGCCGGCTCCCAGCAAAGGAGGAAGTTGCTATGGGGTTGGCAGGTGAGGACGGTAAAGTGGGGAGATGTGGGCAGATTCTGGAAGATCTGCCCTGGTCCCTGCTGTGATTACCGTGTCCAGAACAGTGCCTGGCACATAGTAAGGGCTCAGTGATATTTGTTGATGATGAAGAATCAAATGATGACAGGTTGAAGCCCATGAGGGCTCTCTTCTCTGATTCTGCCCCTTTCCCCATTTCCCCATCTGCAGGGGACTTGGGACAGTATCTGAAGAGCATGTCTGAATAACCTGGTACTCAAAGGGTGTGTGTCCTGGAACTCGCTGCTATCGGAGTCTAAGCGGGAAAGGAGCAAGATTCAAGGGGCCTGACTCATAGCGTAATGGACTGCCATTCAGAACACGGCAGCCACACGCGGCGTGCACACCTGCTCACCTTCCCTCTACTTCCTCCACAGCAATCCCAGCACCTGCCTCCATCCCTACTCTTGCCCCGGCCTCCTCCCAGGCACCCCTGCGGCCAGAGGATGACATTCTGTACCAGTGGCGGCAGCGGCGGAAACTTGAACAAGCTCGAAGAAGCCAGGGTGACGGAACCTGGGTGCTGCCGCAGACCCCTGCCCTCACCACCTCGGTGAGATGGAGGAGAGAGGAGCCTGAGTTGGGGGTGGTGGAGGGAGGATCCTAAGGGAAGTTGGAGGAAGGGGGAGGCTGAGGGGGACTGAGGACTCTCTACCATTTCTCTCCCTCTCAGGTCCCTTCCCCCATCTGTCCACAGCCATCTCCTCCCGCTGCGGAGACCCTTGGTTCCCTGGGAACCCAGTCTAACTCCATCCCACTTTGGGGCAGTGTGGTTCCGCCTGGTCTCCAGGAAGCTTTCCGCATGGAGAGGCCTCCTATTCCCCTAGGGTTCTCTCCACACATCTTTTGGGGTCCCAGTCCCCATGGATTCTTCTGGGCCCCACAGCCCAGTCCCTGGATATCTCTTGGGGTCATCCCTCCAACACTCCCGGCCTCCACCCCAGCGCCCCCGGCCTCCACTCCTGCCCCTCCAGCCTCAGCCCCTGCGCCCCGTGCCTCCACACCCACGACCCCTGCAACCCCCCAGGGGCCCCCCATCCCTGCACCAAGCAGCCCAGAGGAGCTCGAGAAGCAGACCTCCAAGCCTCGGAGAAGGAGAGCCCAACGCCGGGAGTCTTCAGGGCGAGTCATGGCCGCGGATGAGCACGAGGGCCCTGGCCCTCAGCTCAGAGGCGCGCTGGGCCAGGTGGTGACGGCTCGGCTGTTTCCCGACAGCCTGGAGGACACGCCCCCCCGGCTTGAGGGCCCGCCTCCACCCGAGGCTGAACCTCGGAAAGCCAAGGCCACACATGCTCTGACCCCTCGCTCAGAGGTCACGGCTCCTGTATCTGAATCACCGGGTCGGTCTAAGGCGGGGTCTCGGAATGCCAAGACCCTGCTCCCCCTAGCGGGATCGGTGCTTAGGAAGGACAAAGACACTCCCTTGGCTGAAGTCAAGTGTCTGCAGCCCAAGATCCTGCCTCCTCCAGCTGAGGTGGTGGCCACTTGTGTTAAGGCCCCGCCCCCTCCATTCGAGGCGGGGTCTCTTGAGGTGGTTGCCACGCCCTCACCCTCTGCTGGCCACGCCCCCTCAGAAGACCTGCTCTCCCAAGCTGCCAGACTTCTGCAGGCTGCGGAAGGTGAGCAGGTGTGCACGCCGCGCGTGGCTGCCGTGTTCTGAATGGCAGTCCATTACGCTATGAGTCCGGCCCCTTGAATCTTGCTCCTTTCCCGCTTAGACTCCGATGGCAGCGAGTTCCAGGACGACCCTATACTGCAGGTGCTAAGGATTCAAAGGACGGCGCTGCGCCGGCAGAAAAGGTGACCATCTCCAGGATTTAACACAGCCGGCCCCTGAATTCTGAGACTGCCATGTGGCGCCCACCTCTCCTGAACCCCTTTCCCAGAAAATACTAATACCCCAGACCCTAATCCTGAGCAAATACCTCAACCTCTACCCCACTGTCCTTTTTCCAGGAAAGTAGATGCTCAAATAGCCTGCCTGCTGGGCCACCCTGAAGACCCAGAGTCTTGGTCTCCAGCCAGGTCGCCCCCCCGGATCCCCAAGGCTGCAGCTGAGGAGGGAAGGAGCCTCTCTTGAGGCCAGATGACTTTGAATTGTACAGACTCTATTTTTCTTAATAAAAAAATTTTTTTTCAGATTACAGGTTGTCTCCGAAAAAGAAGTTATTTGAAAAGGCCAAGGGTCTTGCTCATTTAGGGTAATAGCTCCCTGTGCCCCCCTCCCCTCCCCAACACTAGCTCTGCTCTGCACTGCTTAACTCTTATTTCTGACCACTGAAGCCAAGTCTCTTTTGGTTTCATCTTTGAGGGCAGGAGAGGAGTTCTGGGCAAGACTGGGGCTCACTTTATCTGACTTTCAACTCAGGAGTGGGTCCTCCTGTCTCAGATGAGACCAAAGGAACTGTTCTGTGGGTGTGAAGCTTGTAGTCATTAGAGTGTTAGACAATGGTCAGGCCTCCACATCCTGCTTGACCCAGCAGCAGCATTAAGTGTGCTGATCCCCACTCACTCTTTGAAGCACTTCCTTGCCTAGCTTCCAGAACCCCAGTCTTCTCCTCACCAATCTGGTTGTGCCTCATTGTGCCTCACACCTGTTACTTTGGTGTCCCAGGCCTTGACTTTTCTATCTACACTCAGTCTAGCTTCATGGTTCCAAACCTCGTCTCTGTTCTGATAGACAACTTTGAACTGTACAAAGTCGTACAAATTGTAAAACCCAAGTACTACAACCAATTTCTATCTTCAGCCTAGAACCTTAGGTTCCTGTATCCCATGACTTGCTCATCATCCACACAAAAAGTTCTAAGAAATATCTCAAACTCCATAGGTCTTAATCCTTGCCCTAAACCTGCTCCTCCCTGGCTCTCAGCTCCATCCTTCCACCTGCTCAAGTCAGAAGCCTAATAGCTGTCATTGATTCTCCTCACAATCAGTTGACCAGCAAGTGATATCACCTCTACCTTTAAAATCTCTCCAGGGACTTCCCTGGTTGTACAGTGGATAGGAATCCACCTGCAGATGCAGGGGACTTGGGTTCGATCCCTGGTTGGCGAAGATTCGACAGGCAGCAGAGTGACTAAGCCTTTGTGCCACAACTACTGAACCTGCCTGCTGCAACTACTGCAGCCTGTGTGCTTAGAGCCCATGCTTTGCAACAAGAGAAGTCACCGCAATAAGAAGCCCGAGTACTAGAGAAAGCCAGAGTGCAGCAAAGTAGACCCAGCGCAACCAAAACAATTAAATAAATAAAAGCTGTGAAACCATAAGAGTCACCACCACTTACTAAAAAAATTAAAAAGTCTCTCCAGAATTTAACCCCTCCCTTGACCATGGTCTAGACTATCATCATCTCTCTGGACTATTGGAAAGCCTATTGCTTTGTCTGCAAATTCTTTGGCACATTTCCTATCAAAAAAAATAGAGTCCATGTTCCTTCTTGACACTGGGTAGAACTTTGTGACTGCCTCCACAAATAGAATGCAAAGGAAGCAATTTTACTTTAACTTTCTAAATTAGATTAGAAAACATGATATAATTTCCACCTGTTTTTTTAAAATAATTAAAAGATGATTTATTTACTTATTTATGGCTGTGCTGGGTCTTCATTGCTGAGCAGGCGTTCCTCTACTTGTGTCGAGTAGGGGCCACTCTCTAGTTGCGGTGTGCAGTCTTCTCAGTGTGGTGGCTTGTCTTGTTGCTGAGCACAATCTCCAGGGCACAGGGGCTTCTGTAGTTGCAGCACAAGGGCTCAGTAGTTGTGGTTCCCCGGCTCTAGAACACAGGCTCAGTAGTTTTGGTACGCAGGTTCAGTTACTGCATGGTATGGGGGATTTTCCTGGACCAGGGACCAAACCCATGTCTCCTGCATTGACAGGTGGATTATTTACCACTGAGCCACCAGGGAAGCCCTCCACCTTGTTTTCTCCTAATCTTTCCCCCTACTTCCTTTGGGAGTCCTGGGATGCTGTATAAATATGTTCAGCTGCCATCCTGGGTAAGGATTTGGATTATGAAAGTATATGCACTTGGTAGGGGCTTCCCAGGTGGTGCTAGTGATGAAGAACTCATCTGCCAATGCAGGAGACATAAGAAATGCCAGTTCGATCCCCGGTTTGGGATGATACCCTGGAGGAGGGCATGGCAATCCACTCCAGTATTCTTGCCTGGAGAATCTCAAGGACAAAGGAGCCTGGCGAGCTACTGTCCATGGGATTGCAAAGAGTCGAACACAATTGAAGTGACTTAGCACAAATGCACACATGTACTTGTTAAAATTCAGTGAAATTGTGAATTACATTGGGTATATATTACCTGAAAAGGAAAATAAATATTGAACTCTAGTGAGAGATATGCATGCTGAAGTATTTATGGGACAGTATACAGTGTCTTTATTATGAAATGTATCCAAAGTTAAATTAACAGATGAATACAGTAATAGTTAGATGTGAGATAAAACAAATATAGTAAAATGTTAATGGTAGTATCTGGGGTGGTTATATGGGTGTAAAATTGTTCAGCTTTGCTGTATGTTAGACAATTTTTATAATAAGGTGTTAAATATGCAATCAGGATTATGTTGATATTTGTATTTACAAAAAAGAGGATAGGATAGATTTCTGTAAAAACTAGCTTTTGTATGTTATAGACATGGTATTTGTTTTCAGTCTTTATGAACAAGCCATACATTTAAATAAAATAAAAAGAAGGAAATGGCTGTTTAGATATCAGTTCAGTTCAGTTCAGTTGCTCAGTCGTGTCCAGCTCTTTGCGAACCCATGAACCGCAGCACACCAGGCCCCCCTGTCCATCACCAACTCCCGGAATCCACCCAAACCCATGTCCATTGTGTCAGTGATGCCATCCAACCATCTCATACTCTTTCATCCACTTCTCCTGCTGCCCTCAATCTTTCCCAGCATCAGGGTCTTTTCAAATGAGTCAGCTCTCCACATCAGGTGGCCAAAGTATTGGAGTTTCAACTTCAACACTAGTCCTTCCAATGAACATTCAGAACTGATTTCCTTNCTTTTCCTATTTGGAACCAGTCTGTTGTTCCATGTCCAGTTCTAACTGTTGCTTCCTGATCTGTATACAGGTTTCTCAAGAGTCAGGTCAGGTGGTCTGGTATTCCCATCTCTTTCAGAATTTTCCAGTTTATTGTGACCCACACAGTCAAAGGCTTTGGCATAGTCAATACAGCAGAAATAGATGTTTTTCTGGAATTCTCACTTTTTCAATGATCCAGGGGGTGTTGGCAATTTGATCTCTGGTTTCTCTGCCTTTTCTAAAACCAGCTTGAACATCTGGAAGTTCACGTATTGCTGAAGCCTGGCTTGGAGAATTTTGAGCATTACTTTAGGTATAAGGAGAAAGAAAAAGATGTTTATAGCAGTAGAATCTGATTTAGCTGGTGTGTGTGGGGTGAGTGGGGCCTAGAACTATTCCTGAGGAGTTGAGATAGGTAGGAATTAATAATTAATTAATAATTATATATAATAATTAACAAAGGGTCATCCTAACGACTATTTCTAGGTTACAAGCTACCCCCAAAACTTAGTGGCACAAAACAATGATTCTATTATGCTCATAGATTCTATGAGTCAAAAATTTGGACAGGGCAGAGCTGGGGACAGATCGTTTCTGCTCCATGATGTCTAGAGGTTCAGCTGGGAAGACAAAGGTGGCTTGATAGCTGGGAATGGAACCTCTGGAGCTTCTTCACTCCTAAGTTCGGCATCAGGACTCAGACAACTCCAAGCTGGACTGTAGTGTCTATACAAGGTCTCTCCATGTGGCTCTTTTGTGGTTTGTTTGTGTTCATGTGCTCAGTTGTGTTCCGAGTCTTTGTGACCCCATGGACTGTAGCCCGCCAGACTCCTCTGTCCATGAGATTTCCCAGGCAAGAGTATTGGAGTGGGTTGTTGTTTCCTACTCCAGGGGATCTTCCCAACTCAGGGATCAAACCCATGTCTCCTGTGGCTCTTGCATTGCAGGCAGATTCTTCACTTGCGGAGTCTGTGGCTTAGGCTTCCACAAAGCATGAACTGTCTTAGCAGAATTGCGCTTCTACACGGTGCATCAAGGCTCCAGAGCTAGCCATTCCAGCAGACAAAGAGGAAACAGCATTACCTTTTACTACCTAGGCTTGAAAATCACATAGTGTCAATTCCTATTCATTCCTATTCTCTGTTGGTTGAAGTTGTCACAGTCTTGCCCAGATTCAAGAGGGAGGGAAGGCAGACTCTACTTTCTCAGGAGAGGAGTGTGAAAGAATTTGCAGTTGTGTTTCAATGAGGGGGAGGGGGCGCAAAGAATATTCCAGGCAGAGGGTACTTCATGTGGGAAATCCCTGTCGTGGAAGTGAGTTCAAGAAGCTCAATAAATTGAAATAAGTAGCTATAAATTGACTCCTCCTTCACACTCCCTTTCCCCAATCTCTGCTTAATTTTTATCCATATTTTAAAATATTTATTTTGCAAACTCTTTTCTCACTCGCTTTTGAGCTTCATGTGGGCAGGGTATATTTCCCCCATTTTGGTTACTGATAGATCCACAAATTAAGTGATCAGGGTTTTTGAATGAACGAATGGGTGGATCAAGGATGTACCTTCGAGGACCTTGTTGAGGGCATGACCAATGGCAAGTTCTCTTGGAAAAGGTATTGTTACAGAGTGTTTTCTGAGCTTCAGTCAACAACAGGAACAACTAGAACTGAGTTTGTGCGAGGCATCTGAGCAAGTGAAAAACATCCATGGGCCAATGTTCTTAGTGTTCCAAGAGCAGGGGTAGGGGCTGAGTCGGGACTCGACAAAGTGGGGATCAGGACTTTGAAGAGCTGCTTAGGGAGTGGAGAAAAGCTTGCGTTCATGAGAGAAGCCAGTTAAGAGTGTCAGAAGAGCCATCACTGTCAGTGGACTGAGGGAAGGGTCCACTGCTTGGTGTCAGAAATGTTAGAAGCAAAGCATAAAGAACCCGGGGGTGTGTCTCAGGAGGGGAATGACGGCCAATGAAACGCAGGCATGGGCGTGGCGCTGTCAAACTTCGCAGGGCGGGACCGAAGAGATCTAGCCAGAAAGAGGACCCAAGCTGAAGCCAATGATTAGCCGCCAGGTGGGCGGGGCGTCGTCCT